ACAAAAATTTAATGCATTTACACACACAGTTCTCCTTGTTTCGTTTCTTTGAACTTTCTCTTTATTCACAGCCTTCCTTCCCCTTCAAACATCCTTCAAAAGTTGTTTTTCCTCTTAATTCTCAGGAGAAACTTTAATAAGATACCTTTCCAGGAAGAACAGAGCAGTCAGTTTTAGCAGTATATTAAAAAAAAAAAAGAGCTGAAAACAGTAGAAAATGAGGAGAAACCAAAAGAAACTAATAAGAACAGAGCAGTCAGTTTTAGCAGTATATTAAAAAAAAAAAGCTGAAAACAGTAGAAAATGAGGAGAAAGCAAAAGAAACTAATGCCTGTGTTCGCCCTGGTGCTGCTGTGAAAGGCTGGGTGAGCAAAGGCACAGGCTTGTGCCAGCTGGGGCTGATGGAGGCATCACTCCCCACCGAGCTCACCCCTCTCTCCAGCAGAGCAGGAAAATGAAGCCAAAATTAACAAGAGATTTAAGAAAAGCCAGCTCTCGTGGAAACTGCAAAGAAGCAGTTTGTTCACTGAAGTGATAGGTGTTTACCTTAATTATCTTAGATGTTTGCCACATTCAGCAGTCATTCCTGCGTTCTGGAAACCTGGAACCCTGGTCCTCCCGTGCTTTGCAAACCCAGGAACTGCCACCCAGCTCATGGAAAGAGTAACTCAACTCAGGTGGGTCCACTCAGGAGGGGTGGGATTCGATCCGAGAGTCAGGAGGAGTTGTTAACACAGCTGGAATCAATTCCTGGCTTCACCACAGATCACAGCTCAGTTTTGCACTTTTAACCGGTCGTGTTGTTTTGCATATTTTATTCATTTCGATCTTTGAAGTTGTTCTTCGGACTAATTTAAACATAGTAATACTAAAGTATGTGTTTTGAAATTTCTTTCCTAACAAGGTAGGTGTTTTGAAAACTCCATGTATGTATATTTAATGCTAAATAATCATCTTTTTGCTCCCTTAGGTAAACGGACACAAAGACTGCAGGATCATTAGTCACACAGATATCAGCATACATCAAGACACAAAAACCCAAGGGCTTCTTTTTTTTTTTTTCATTAGATACTCTTACATCCCTGCTTTGATGAACTGTGAAGATTCACACAGGATAAACAAAAAGCAATTCAATATAGGACACTGCACTAAGGGAGCTAACTTGAAATACATTATCTGTAAGGACAGAGAGTGTCAAGGTTTATAACCCAAGATCAGCAGCATCTCCATTTCCGTAGCTGTGATGTTATTTCAGAACACTGAACTGCAGACAGGTCTTGAAAGAAATGTCTTTTTGCTTATAAGCAGAGCACAAGAAAAATTGTTTTCTATAGACTCAGAAAACCTGCTGATCTATCTTAACGACAGGTTAAAAGTAATATTCTCAGAACTGTTTAACAACTTGTTTTACATTCAGTGCGCTCTTACTAAAAATCTGTCTCGAAATCAACTCACCTACAGGATTCCCAGGCAGATTTTAGAAGCGCACGGTTCCAAAGGTCTACTAATAACATTCAAGCAATTGAAGCAAACAGGTAACATTAGCATTAAATGCATGCCCAACATCCAGACAGCAGAAAGGTATGGCAGGATCAAGTTGAGTTGAGTGAGAAGGGTTAGGGCAGCTGGAAATGCTCAATTCAGGCTGTTCAGCAAGTTACATCTGGCTCAAACTTGTGTCTCTGCAAGTGCTGACTAGCTCCAAGCAACATTCTCAACGACAGCAATATAACAACCTGCAGTCAGGGATATAGATGAATTATGGGTGCTCAAGTCTTCCGAGCAGTCCTGCTCCACCATTGCCTTTTGGCAATGTGAAAAAGAGCTTATTGCTTGGATTCTCGCTGGTCCTCCATTCTACCAGCTCCCCATGGCTACCCAACTGACGTTTGGACGTACCCTAATTGAAGGGAGATGAACTGAAACACGCCAAGAAGGGCCGCCAGGATGAACATGGGAAGAGGACAGTCTTACACAACACAGAACAATTTGCGCTTCAAAATACTAGCAATATTTTCCTTGTTACCACAATGGTTATTGAAAATCACGTATTTTACTAGTCGAGTAATTAGCTAAGTAACAAACATTTCTCTATCAGCAAACTCAATGATAATCAATGCCAACTTCACTATTGAAAATACTTAACTTCGAGATGTCAATTGATGAAATCTGCAGTGAACATCAACCCTTTCATATTGTGCCTCTTTCTGTGGTTACATTTGCATAGAAACACACATTTATTACTGGATTTTTTTTTTTTCCAGCAAGTCATTTGGTAGACCTGGTGTTAATACGGCTTAACATAAGAAACCTTCCCATTCATCCTGAATCCTTAAGGCTACCCTTCTTCATAAGAAGTAAAAACAAAACCTGCTTTCATCTAAGTTGCTTTTAAATACAACCCAAAAGAACTGAGATGACATGAAATAAAAATGCAAGAAAGATTAAAGGATAAAAAAGTCCTTCAACGGATGGGTGAGAAACCTTTCATCCTTGTAGGAGAAGGTTACGTACTGCTCCACACAAACCACTGCCAAGGTCAAAGTGATCTGAGAGAAGCTTTGAGGGTGTCACACCAATAGTTCTACAGATGTTGCAGCTCATACTCAAAGTATTTGTTTGCAAGGCTCCAACTGGTGATGTTTAGTTTTCTCTAACTGGTAATGTTTAGAGTTTTCTCCACATTACCACTCATAACACATCAGCGGTGCCTGGGAGACCAGGAGAACCCTGTGCTATTTAAGAGTCAGTGACCCTCATGGGTCTGAATGGTACCTCATGTATTACCTCAAAGGATTTTTTTCTACTTAAAAAAGAGCATATTTAAATTCAACACATCAATCCAGAAGATTTGCATGCTTTGCAATTTAAAAAGATCCAACTTCAATAAGGATAAAGTGACTGTTGTTTTTCAAAAGAACATTTTACTGCATGTTATCTATGAATGAATATTGGGATGTTTTAGCTTTCTGCTCTTATACTAGACATATCTCAGATATTTATTATGATTCAAAGGATAACTATTAAATTATATAAATATAACCAAAAACTACAGCAAGATAAAGTTATTAGTTCTTATCTTTCTTAGCTTATACCAACTGAAAAACCTTATAGGAAGAAATTATTTTAAACAGACTAAAAAACAGGCTTTTTTTTTAGCTTCAATATTCATCAAACTCTAACATAACTCTGAACATAATGAAATCAATTCATTCTATTATAAATAACATGCATGATGCCAGTCACCAATACAAGTGATTTACTGCATGAAAATTATTCATACACTTTAGTTAAGTATTGCAATGCAAATAGAACAAAAACAATATCCAGGAGATCAAAACCAGTGAGACTACACAAGACATTTAGGTAGCTAAGGATCCTTAACAGTTGAATTTTGCCACTTATTTTCTCACCACAGTATCCTCCATTACATCAACTAAACACCTTTAAAAAAATTGTTTGGCTTAGTTTATATTTTAATTAACAAATAATATATCTCCTTTGAATAACGACTGTTTTGCAGGGTGCTCACAGCTTCACCCTCCATCACCCTCACACATTTGCTGCTGAAATTAAAGAGCTGGAAATTCAAAAGCAGCATCGAGCACAAAACACCACCCTGTGATCCTCCTGCAGGGAAACAGCTCCTGCCACCTTCTCCCCTCGCCTTTTGGGGATTTCCACGGGCTCAAAGGGAGTCACACTTATTTGCACGGCTTGTGCCACACCACTGAGATGGGCCAGACTGACACTGGGCAAGCATGGACCCACCAGCAAGACACTGTCTACTCAAAGATATTATTAAAAAGGTAGCTTTGCTCCCAGCAGTTTAAAGGGGAGGAAAGCAAAGCCCCTCTATTTCAACCAATAATTCTAAGTCTTGTACGACTGTTTCAGTGTCAGAAATGCCCAAGACCTCTTTCAGGAAGTAATCTGTAAAGTAGTCCCGCAGGAAAAATAATTTATATTTTTAAGTCTCTCGGGATTTTCTTTTTCTGTAGAAAAACACTTGGATTTGATAGAGACAATATTAGTACCTTTCACTTCACAGACTGGTTTAACAACATGGCTTGCCTTTCTTCAAAGTTTTTGACTAAGCCAAAAGCAAATCCTGGCCTTCTGAGTCCCCATATAAACCTAAATCCATGTACACTATTCTCCTTCCCAAAGTAGTGCTGATCATTCTGTAGGACACACACATTGGTAATTGGGGGGCACTATCAGCTGTTCCTGCTCTTTCCAGCTCTGGTAATGCCAACATAAACCAAAATCATCCAGAGTCAACCCCTGATGACAGAACAAGGACCTCTTCTACCCCTCAACACCTCACCCTGGCATGACTAGGAATGCTCAGGCTGAATGCATGCTGAACAAAGAGATCCCCAAGAAAAGCGAGGGACTTCAGCTGCTATGAGCACTGATCTTGATAAAGTTAATAAAAATGACTCAGAAGAGCTAACATGGCAGGAGAGAGAAAAGCAGCCCAAGTTCCAAACACCAAGAATTAGCTTGGATATGGTATGGCAGCATAGGAAAAGCAAACCACTGAACTGGTACAGCAATAACATAGTGCTACCCCTCGTGAATAAACCCATTTTAAGTAAGCAAAGTTTTGACAAAACCTGTAGCATTCATCCCCAATAACAGCAAGAATTTAAAGTTTCCAGTTAAAGAAAGTCACGTATTGCAGCTATGAAATCAGCACACCTATGAGTTATGCATTACTAACAACATCCTTAATACATTCAAGTAACTTATTCCTGCTTTGAAAGCATAGCCCTAAGTAGTAACTTCGTAGTAAAAAGGTTACATTCATTCTTTCTCTGTTAATATTTTGCATTATTTAACATATGTATTGCATGCTTGGTTCCTAAACTTTGTGTGACATTTGCATTTCAGAGCCTCCGTGGATCTACTCCTCAAGTGCAGTTCAAATCTGAAATATGGAGACTTATGCATAGCTCTAAACTGAAAGTTAAGAGATTATTGCATATCGTTACCTGCAAAACAGCCAATAAATGACACCAGGAACAGCTGTTTCCACAGCAGCAGCATCTTCAGTTGCCTAAATTCAGTAATTCTGGTTCAGTCTCAGGAGAACTGTATGTTTAGTCTTCCAGGTGGCAAGGTTTAACCTGTTAAAAGAACAAACATAAAATTGAATCCTGTGATGATCCCTAAAAACCAGCGTCCTTGTTGATGCATTTTTTAATAAATACAAAGTTGACAGATCCTCTGTTGTTCCTCTTCCTTCCTATGACCTACCCCTCAAAAGAGGGGTCCATACACATATCACATTTAGGTACATATATGAGGTGTTGCAGCAGGAGCAGAGCTGGCGGGTAAGTTGATTTTGTAGTTCCTACTTTTCCCCAACCTCCAGCATTTGTTTATTTGTAAGAAACAGTAGTTTTAAAGGAAGAGAGATTACATGAGGTGCCATCATACTCAAAGTAGTTTAATGTATTTGTTATAAAAACAGCTTGCATTGTTGCTAGCACAGTGTACACAAGGCAAGTGCAATCTCAACATGTGCAAGAACCGATTTAATTAAAGCCACGTCTAACCAACTTTTTTTTTGTTTGTTTTGTTTTCCATACTAGATCTGTACTCAATGTGCACAACAGCATTGAAGAAGTCTAAAGAGGAAGACCTAGCAACCCAAAAGCACACGGCACTCAAGTGCATCAGCTGTAATGACATGCCACAAACTGATTTGCCAGCTTCTATTTCTACCTTTGTTACTAGCCAGATGATAAACAGTTTGCCAAGGTCTACTAGCCTTTTAAAATGACATTGTCATTTTACTTCTATTTTTTCCCTAAGAAAAAGCTTTACAGTAAGTTTTCTGACATTGTATGACATCTGTGGCCTTTATATTTTGTCTGTGTCACTTCCACAGCATCCTCTCTTCAGAGGAAGGGCAGCTGGGCAAAATCAGGTTTTGCAGTACAGAGACCAGACCAAATGGCTCCTTCTGGAATTAGTCTACAGATCAATACCCAGAAATATTAAGGTCAAAAAAGCAACCATTAATTCCGAGGAGCCAAATCTGAGATGTCTGAACTTGTTTTTTTCCACGTGGACTCTATTTCATGTTACAGTTGAAGATTTCTAATACTTCTGTAGCTCAGGTGCCTGAATTTCAAGCTAAGCACCCCAGAAAAAGAGATCATACAGATGCCCCCCTCTGATAAATTCCCACCCTGTGATTTGCTTGGAGAATTAAATCTCAAAAAAAAAACCCCCATGGCATGACCCTTTGCCACAAGACTCATATCTTTTTGTATCCCACAATCCTGGCTCAGGCAGGGTATCAGCCGACAGCAGCATCCTCTCCTCTGTACCCCCAGAGGCATTGCTTTCTCATTTCTTTTCATGTTTTTACAACAGAAAATAAGCAAAACCAGAACCTCACATTTATTATCAAGTAATAGGTATTGGTCATTCCCTGCCCTGTGTTTCCAAAGGCCATCTGCAAAGCCTTCCCCTAAGGCAGGTTATCCATGGGCAGCCACAGACCAGAGGAAGGAGAACCAAACCCCTTATTCAGGACAGGCTGCTTGAGGACCTGCTGTGCCCACAGCCATCAGAAGCCACGGCTGGGCCAGTGTCACCCCTCAGCCTGGCACAGGGGCACCTCAGGACACCCCCAGTTTTGGGCTGCAATGCTAAATCCTGCCTAAGCATCACCATCCCAGCCCAGGGAACCCAGTGATGTTAGAGTCTAACATTTGCCCTGAGAAGTGAGGATGGCTGGAAGGGGAGGAGGCAGAGCAGGAATACTAAAGTAGGTCACTCTTATATGTCAGCTTTCTTGTCTTACAAGCAAGAGGGGGGTGGAAACTGATGGAAAAGCTAAATTAATTTGATTTTGTTCTTTAAGTGCTCTGGGCAAAGCAGAACACGATAGATCCTTTTCAGGCCGGAAAAAAAGTGCTTTGGTGCAAACTAAAAAAAAAAAAAAATTGAAAAGTTTTATATATGTGGTATAAAATGATAAAGATACATCCCAACCCCTGCCTGCATTATATTTTAATAAATTTGAATATCTAAAGGAGAACAGTGGTTATCAGCCAGCTAACCTTGTAAGATTTAAATTACTTTGAACGCTTTATTTTCTCTCTGTTCTGTCAGATTTAACTAATGCAGGATTTATTCCTGAATAGTCCAAATTTCATTTTTAAAACATGACACTTAATAGTGTTCAAGTTTATAGCCTGAAGCCAGATAAACATTTCCTTACTCTCAATAACAGGTCAGTCTTTTACAAAGGAAGATACAAAGTCAGACACACACTGATTTAACACCAAGCAGACACCAATGTACAAAATTCTTGACATTTTTCCTCAGCTCATTGTTGAGCAACAGCCTTCCCATTAAAGAAAATAATCTAAAAGGAGTTTTTTCCCTGCTGACACCATCCCACCATGGGCTCCCTGCCCTCCCCATCGGCACTGGGGTCACCTCTGCCAAATGAGAGGATGGTTTTAGGCTGTTTACAAACCCTCAGTGAATATTTGTCACTGGAGTAAAGTTGTTGCTTTGAAAATGCTCCAGAAATCAAGTACTGAGTACCACTGCAGCTCAGCTTTACTGAAATATTAAAAAATTGTATTAATCTGAAAATTAGATCCCCATCACAGGTAACAAACAAAAATCCATTATATTAGACAGGTTGCAGTGAGTTACTTAATATAACACATGCATTCCTATTATTTAGCACATGGAAACTCACTGCCAATGCAGGGATTCAAAATCAGGTGACAACTTTGAGCACCTTTGTCACCTTAAAATCTAGATAACCCTGGTCACTTTTCAGATATTCCACATTCAGAAAGAAGAGAGGAAGAGTATAAAAAAAAAAGTTCCCAGCTCCTTGCCATTTGATTGTAATGTTTCAAAAAATGTCACATCTTACAAGTGGAGAGTAATGTAATACAAACAGCAAAGAATAAATTTTACCTCCCCCTCCTTTTGCAGAAGCAAAGGGGCAGATCCACAACATCATTTTGGTGCTTTTGGAAATAAATGGACTTAAATTACCTTCACAGAAATTCTGCACTTTATATGTAAAGGCCAGAACGAATAAAGACAAGCAGTACCTGCTGTGACTGGAAAAGCTGGTAATGAAACAAAGCGAGCAATACTGCAGAATATGTAGAAGGAGATATATTCATATTTTCAAAATTAGAAACCTTCTTAGTATTAGGCAGCACTCTGGTTTCAGGAGAAGTCAAAGATATTTCAAAAGAGTAGGAAAGCAAACCCGAGAAGTGGTGCAAACACACTAGGAAAAAAGAAGATATTTGATTTCTTTATTATACATTTCTTTGACTTTCAGAGATAAGTAAACTCTCATGAGTTCCTCTGAGAAGTCTGGAAAAAAAAAAAAAAAAACACCAGCCAAACAAATAACGTAGGATGAAAGCACACACACACGAAAAAAAAAAATCAACTTGATTTTTCTTCCTTCAAAATTAGCTTTCCAAAACCTATGAACTTTCAGATCATATAATGTAGCAAGTGATGGCTAAGAAAGTCTGAAAGAAACAGAAATTTTGGGAAAGGTCCAAGAGTCAGCAATTTTATTCAGTGACCTTAATTTTTACTACCCAGAATCAATTGTAAAAGAAAGAGCAGTTGTTCCCCAAAGGTGGAATTTTTATTTCTATATATAGAAATGGAACTTGTCAGATCTGGCTGACAAGTTCAAGTTAAACCTTGAGTTTGAGCCGGAGGAATTTGTAGCGTCACCAAGCCTAAATTAATCAGGAATTCCTGGAACTCAGGAGGCCGAGAACTTATTTTTCTGTATTGATCACAAACCACAAAACAGAAAATTAACTGATATACTGACACTAGAGGTCACCATATCTTTTCCAAGGGAAAGAATTATTACAATCTCAATGAATTATGAGATTAACACTCTAGTTAGTTAATGATAAAGTTGTCTCCACAGGGCATCATAGAAACGAGATGCACTGATTAGTGTGAAATATGCCTCAACAACTTCAAGAAGCCCATTTCTAATTTGGGGGGGGAGGGGGGGAAGTGATTGAAAATATCCATTTCTTATTTCCCTCAAAACGAAATTAATCACTGTGAAAAATTACCTAGTATACTTTATTTCAATGAGGAATACCTACATGGTGGACTGTTACCTTCCACATCACTGAACCAAGACCCTGCCTCTCATAGTTCATATGCTAAGACTGACAGGAACCAGTACCATGATGAAAATTTTCTAACTTTGGAAAAATAAGTGTGTAGTTACCATACATGCTTAGGATGCCTCAACAACTTCAAGAAGCCCATTTCTGACCATTTTTTTTAATTATTATTATTATTTTAAAATCGAATTTATATCTATTATTTGTTCCATTGACACAGACGTGGTACCAGCTCAAGATGAGAGCTTTGAAGAGATTTCTGCCACTTGAAGTAAATAGTTAATTCAACTCCCCTGCCTCTCATAGTTCATATGCTAAGACTGACAGGAACCAGTACCATGATGAAAATTTTCTAACTTTGGAAAAATAAGTGTGTAGTTACCATACATGCTTAGGAAAAAAAAACAAAAACAAAAAAACAACAAACACTACAACACAAAAAAAAACCCCACCCCAACTTTCAAAAATGCTTTGGAAATACTAAATGTAACAAAAATCTATCAAAGTATTGCATTTGCACATAATTTATAAGCTGGTCTTCCTGCCATACTAGCTAATCTCTAGACTTTGCTTAGATACCAAGATACCCCAGTTCTCTGGGATCTGTCTCTGTTGAGATGAATCCTAGATGAATCCAAGTCTAAAGTACCAATATCAAGTCAAAGGCAGGTCTACCCAATGCCAGTTGACCATTTTTTTTTATTATTATTTTAAAATAGAATTTATATCTATTATTTGTTCCATTGATACAGACATGGTACCAGCTCAAGATGAGAGCTTCGAAAAGATTTCTGTAAATAGTTAATTCAACTCTACCATCATCCAACAGAAAAATCTACAGATTAAGATATCCGACTAATTTAATGTTAGAGATTGGAAAGGCTTTGAAAAAACAAAACACAGAGGAACTACTGGATATTACAGCCAGCAATAATGCCAGCACCATTATTCTGAAAGAAA